GTCATCGGTTCATGAAAAACTGTCAAATATCCCACAATATGGGTTTTTCCGAAAAGGGGACGACGTGTAGAGGCCGGAAATCGATGCCAGACTATATTTTGGAATCCAAGATGGTGGCCATAGGTTCCAGAAAAACTGTCGAATACTCTACAATATGGGTATTTTCAGATAGGGGACGGCGTGTAGAGGCCATAAATCGTTTCCTGACGTCCTTTTGGAATCCAAGATGGTGGCCATCGGTTCAAGAAAAACTGTCAAATAACCTACAATATGGGTATTTCTGGGTAGGGGATGCCGGAAATCGATGCAAGACGGAATTTTGGAATCCAATATGGCGGCCACCGGTTCAAGAAAAACTGTCAAATACCCTACAATATGGGTATTTCCGAGAAAGGGACGATCTGTTGAGGCCAGAAATCGTTGCCAGCTGGCATTTTAGAATGCAAGATGACGATCATCGGTTCAATAAAAACTATCAAATACCCTACAATATGGGTATTTTCGGATAGGGGAACGCATGTAGTGGCCGAAAAACGATGCCAGACGTCATTTTGGAATCCATGATGGTCATCGGTTCAAGCATTTTTTTGATAAATTTACACATACATTTTTTTCTAATTCCAGCCGTTCTCAAGTTAATGCGAATTAAAAATTACAATGAATTTTCAAGATTTTAGACCATTTTCAAATGTTAGTCACAATGTCCAGCAAGAAAATGTGTATTCCGTGATTTTATATTTAATAACCAACAATTCATTCTAAGCATGAATTGTTTGAAATTTAATTAAATTGCGAAAAACAAGAAAAGTTTAAAAAATTATAGAATTGTTTTTTAAGCAAGTTACCAGATAACACTCTTTGATCATGAGCATGATGAACAAGATAGACCGCCCGTATATGCAACTCCGTTATTGCCAGATCAGCTGTAATTACACAGAGAAGTAATAAACGTTGCTTGGGACTAGCATTCATCCTCAATGTGCAGATACCAGCGCCGGTCACTTCCAAATGCTGGTCAAGAAAGGAATTTGCAGAAATATGTTGACGCAATACTCGCTTTAATGAAAGCGGAGAACATCTCTGCACTTCCACGAGAAATCAATGGGATGCTGTATTTATGTCTTAACGATTTAATAGCGTGAAGTAGCTTGGGTTTGAACACACGGTTTTATGTTCATCAAGCAAAATAGGTTGCCACTTTGCCACCGAGCTCCTTATATCACAAAACAATTACGATCAAGTTTCCGTTCAATTTGATGCGACTATGTTTCGATCACGGCGACGACCTCACCGACCACGGCAACAATTGCTTTTGAGAAGAATTTGATTTGGATTTCCAATCAACAAGTCTTTCCAAAATCTCAAATATTACTTCTTTTACGTATCCGTCCTTTTAAGCGAATTTCATTACGCTTAGACGTGTAAGGTGTTTGGGTTCTAACCCCCGATCTTCTAATCAGTAAGCAAAACGGTCGCTATAAGGCCACCGTGCCCATTACATCACAACAAGCTACGACCGACAATCGTTTATTATCGGTTACAAGAAGCTTTTACAATGAAATGAAATCCCCAAAAGTAGTAAACAATGTCTTCCGAACCGGATCAAGTTTACGTCACATTCATCTAAATATACGTACCTTTTACTTTTCTGAATCGTTCCACCGATTTCAAGTATTAACGATTTTTTACAATAGTGGCCTGGATAGATCATTCAGTAATGTAACGAGCCTTGGGTTCTAACTTATGATCTTCTACTCAGTAAACAAAAACGGTTGCTCTATAGCTACCGTGCCCCTTACATTAAAGGGTGGAACGGTCAAAAATTGATCAATCATGATTAAGCGCACACTGATTATGTTATTGTATAAATGATCAAACTTTATTTCAATGATTACAAAATACAGGAATATTATTTGATTAGGCTTCCGATTTTCCAAATGCGAACTGTCGGGCTTTACGTTTCACGCCTTCCATCAGATTTTGTACCGCTGTTGTATCAACCTTATTTGATGCTGAACGTCAATTTACTTTGAACTTTTTCTCATTTACAACTGTTTTCTGTTTTAAAATATTATTGAATTGGGTGCAGCTCCGGTGAGTTTGGAGGGTTTTTGTCCTGGGTTCGACTTGGACGTTGTTAACGGTATACCGTTCCTGAGCCATTTTCCCGTAGTGACATAGTTACGTACAGCCTTCATGGTCAGACACTGAATCGGGAGACTACAGTCAAAGACTTAGGAGTCATGTTAGATTGTCAACTAACCTTCAAGGAGCATGTGTCATATGTCGCCAGTAAAGCATCTTCTCAGCTTGGGTTTATTTTTCGCTTTGCTAAAGATTTCAGAGACACTTCGTGCTTGAAAACGCTTTATTGTTCACTAGTCCGTTCGACACTGGAATACTGTTCAGTAGTTTGGGCGCCGTTTTACAACAATGCCACGAATCGACTTAAGTCTATTCAGAGGAGATTTGTTCGCTATGCTCTTCGTTGGCTACCCTG